TTTTTTTTTTTTTTTCCTTTTTTATGAATATATTGTGCGGTTGGGAGCGTAATGAAACGTTGCTTCAGTTAACAATAAGTGTAAATTTCAAAATTGATGTCTGACATTCGCGTTCTTCCCCAATGGAAATCACAGCCGTCGAAATTTTTTAATTAAGATGATCGACGAGCTAGTTTGAAACAACCGTCAAATCATCAAAACAGGTTTGATTTTTTCGACGGTTTGCATTTACGTTGCAGTCGTCTCATAGAGCAGTGGGATTCCATTCACGCTGTCATTTATTATCCCGAAATTTTCAGATTAATCAAGATTTTTTTTTATTAATTTATATTCGATAATTATATTAAATTTTAATTAATTTAAAATTAAATTACATTAAGTTTTATTTTGAAATTTTTTTAATATTTATTTTTTATTTATAAAATTTAAATTTATAATTTTATTTAAAATTAAATTTTTTTCATTTAAATCAATAAATCGTTGATTTAAATTAAACAAAATAAAAATTTGATCTCAAAGCTTTTTTTTTTTAATTACATATACAATTTGAAGTATAAAATGAAAAATTATAACATGATAGAATCATAATTTAAATTTTATCATTATTCTTCACTTTTTTTATCTCAAAGCTTTTTTTTTTTAATTACATATACAATTTGAAGTATAAAATGAAAAATTATAACATGATAGAATCATAATTTAAATTTTAAATTATTATTAAGATATTAGATATATCTATTAAGTAACTCATAAAATTATGACGATGCAAAGAAAAAAAATTTTATATAGTTTTTAAATATTATTAAATAAATATATATTTAATATTATGAATTTTAAATAAATAAAAATAATCAATCATTTTATTGACAAATAAATTATATAAAAAGATAATAAAAAAAATTCTCCTCAAATCATTTTCCTAAAACTTAATACTGAAAACGTTTTTTTCTTTAAATTAATTTATGGTCTAGTTCAGAGGACATCAATTCTGGTGATGTAAACATTATTCTTTAAAATATTAATTTTATTTGATATAATTCTTAAAAAATTATTTATACTGTAATTATAGTAGTTAATTAATAAATAAAAAATAATTAATATTTATTATTTAATAAATTAAAATAAATTTACCAACTAAAATTTTTAAATAACATAATTAACTATTTTAAAAAATATTAATATTTGTGTGAATTTTAGCATTTTAGAGTACGGCCAAATCCATACCTTAATTCATATTACTGTTTGGTTTATTGAAGGAAAAACCAAAAATCTAGCTTTAAGCAGAGAGCGCAAGCGGAAGCAGAAAGACAAGTAAACGACGAACGTGCCTCCTCCTTGGATGCTCCCGGCGGCTCCATGCTTGGGGTCACGAGTATTCAATCACAATATACAAGAAAGTAAATGTGTTGATTTTCTGTATTTGTAAATAATTATGTAGGAAGTCCATATGCAGTGCATGATCTTTTGGGATTCAAATCCTTATAATTGTACCTTATCTTGAATCTTAAGCTTGTTTTTTTTTTTACATCAGCTTGCTTTCTTCTTTTGTAAATGAAACTGAAATCCTAAAAAATTTTAAATATAAATTCATTTAGATATCTTAGTAAGATATATTCTTTTTACTTTAGATTTTTTTTTTAAAGAAGTTAATTTCGACTTAAAGTGAATAGAATTTTATTATTATTTCCAATTTTAAGATTTTTTTAGTGGTCATAGAATTTTTAATTTAATTTATATGTATTTTGATATTAATTTCTTTATAATTCGGTTGAAAGGAGGTCATCAACATTAAAATTAAAAATTTATTTAAAAAATTACAGTTTTTATAAATCTTTTAAAGAAATAAAAAATTAATTAAAAAATAAAAAATAAACTCTTGTACTAATTAAATTACACTTTCTTACATCAAGTTTTAAGAGATTATCCTTATTTTCTAGCTTTATTTTTGCGAATAAAATGTTAATCACAGTTTTCATGGTGCATAAGAGAATGAAATGATAATCTAAGTTGAAAGAGTAAAATCAAGTGTAGTAGCGACGTTAATTTGGTACAACAACTCCCAATTGTTCAAGAAACAAGAGAAAACTTACCATGTACTCACTCTCCACATCTCCATATGATCTAGTTCCCTATATGGCTATATGGGGCTTATTTCTCAGTGCCGCCCATAGGGGCATTACCGTCATTTCACACCCGTTTTGGCCACAAAGCGAAACAAAATTATTGGTACGGTTACAATTGAGCCGTAGTAGAGCCATGATAAAACCCATAAAATAGAGTTCTCTCGTGATGAACAGATCCACCCATGATAAACGGCTTTGATGTGGTGATCCATGGAATCATGATGCAGTGGCAGCAGGTGATGGTATTAGCCCGACTAAACATTTAGAGTATATTTGGTGAAATTTATAAAAAAAAATTTTTTTGCATTATTTATAAGTGATAAATTTAAATTTTTATTAAAAAAATTTAAAA